GTATAATAATAGCGTAGTATAATATATATTTATATATAAATATTTACATGTAGAACATGCTTGTATAATAATAGCGTAGTATAATATATATTTATATATAAATATTTACATGTAGAACATGCTTGTATAATAATAGCGTAGTATAATATATATTTATATATAAATATTTACATGTAGAACATGCTTGTATAATGCTTATATTCATAACATCATTAATAAGGGTTTACACTGCTGAGAGATCCCTAATTATAACCTAATCAACACTATTAAGGTTGCATGAGCTTACCATTAATAAACGAATATTATAATTGGTTTCTGTGATAAAGCACGCACCTCTGCCCTCAAGTACAAGTAAATTTAACCTATTTGAAGCATAAAGTCGGACCGGGTCAACCTTGTTGCACCGGCTAGTCCTGTCCATAGAGCCAGGTACAGTACAAACTTGGACCGGAACGGTTGACCCGGCTTGGAAATTCAAATGCACTACGGCTTCCCGTGAAAGAGGAATGAAAAGGGAAAATCGTGAATTTTTAAAATCATTGAAATTGAGATTTAGTGAAAATATAAATACTTTAAATTATCGTACTTTTCATTGCAGTTTTTCTGCTTTGTCTTCTAAATGAATAAAAAAGAAAAAAACGAGAATTTTAACAATCTTTGAAATTGATTTTCAGCTTTGGCCACGGGATACCTGTACTTTTTCCATTTAAAGAAAATTAGTTTTACTCTTTTAAAACCTTCTAAAAAATTGGTAAACTATATTTAAAATATAAAAAGGTTTTTTGCCTGTTGTATATACGATATTTTGCCTGTTGTATATACGATATTTTGCCTGTTGTATATACGATATTTTGCCTGTTCTATATACGATATTTTGCCTGTTGTATATACGATTATATACGATATTTTGCCTGTTGTATATACGATATTTTGCCTGTTGTATGTACGATAGTTTGCCTGTTCTATATACGATATTTTGCCTGCTGTATATACGATATTTTGCCTGTTGTATATACGATAGTTTGCCTGTTCTATATACGATATTTTGCCTGTTGTATATACGATATTTTGCCTGTTGTATATACGATATTTTGCCTGTTGTATATACGATAGTTTGCCTGTTCTATATACGATATTTTGCCTGTTGTATATACGATATTTTCATGAATTCTTGTAAGTCTATAAGAATTGCATGATAAATGAGTTTGAATCTGCAGTTAAATTCTTGCATGTACAATTTAGAATAAATGTGATAATTTAACCAATGTTTTAATTTAAATAAATTTTTACGATTTTAGCATTTCAAATATTTTTTTGTTGAGAAAGTAATTGAGTTTTTGCCACAAATTCTGATTTTCAAATAGCTACATCTTGGCAACCTGATGGTGTTAACCTTTGATATTTCAAACTAATATTATATGCACTGAAATAATTCATAGTTTGAAATATCTCAGGTCTCTGACATTGAAATGCAAAGATATAGGGATAAGAAAATCAGAGTTTGTGACAAAAACTCAATTCCTTTGGTTAATTTCAGCATCTTGGGTCTTCACTGTGTCTAACCCTAAACAATAATATCTATTTATGCAAATGTCTTGTGTTATCATGAATGATAGCATGTTTTTTGGTTGGGTTTTTAACTTTTTAGTCTGTTTCAGGTTTAAAATCGAGATTTTTTATTCCGAAAGTAGTAAAGTAAAAATCACAAAAAACATATTTTTCCAAATAAAAATACAAGACAGTTGGGTATATAAAATTATTTAATCAAGTTTCATAAAGATGTGCAATTTTTTTTAATAAAAATACGCGAAATAAAAAGGGAAACCTGCTTTGCTGTTATATAAAATGTTACTTATTTGACACGGAACAATTAAAAACTTTTTACACCCAAGATTATAAAATTGTGAGTAAAAATGCGGGATAAAAATCATCTTTAAATTAAATGAAAGCAAACTTGAATAGTTTAAAACAACTTCAAGTGTTATTCCTTTTTTAAAGAGTAATACATAAGGTGGTAGGTACTCTCCCAAAGGTATTTTCCCAAAGGCGACTTCCAAAGTGACAATTTAAATCACAAGGGGCAACTTCCCAAATGTGCGATTTACCAAGCGGCAACTTCTCAAAGGTTAGGTTAGGCCCTCTGAGGCGCCGCAGGCTGCTATGTGTGGAGGGGGGTGGGGGCGGCTAGGGCGGACTTAAGAAAGTGCCGTTTGGGAAATTGCACATTGGAAAGTTGTCACTTGGGAAAAATCCTTTGGGAAAGTACCTAACATCTTTAAACATATATCAAAGTGGAAGACAGTGTCGTTTTTCTATGGGGGTAAAAGTAGAAAATTTAGACAATTTCCTTTATTGTGTCTGCAGTTTAATCCGCAAAAGATTTTTACACATATAGTAAGGACACGATTAAAATCCATAAATTTTCAGCCAGAAAAATACGGATATCTTATTTACCTTTGATCGTAAGATATGTACAATTATACTGTCGCATGTCACCCTGAATATCGAGGTTTACTTGAAAATACGTCTACAGTTCCTTTAATGTACTGCTTTTCTCAAACATGACAATTTTTTCTTTTCTTTAGAAAACTGCGTGATTAAGAATTTCTTTAAACAGGTTGGCAAGCTGTCATATTCGTTTTCATCAATATTTACGAAAAATCCTAAAACTCGATTTATTTAGGAATATATTAAAAGTAATAAAAATAAGGAATTTCCTGAAATTCTATTTATCTATCACTTTTGTAACTCACTTTGAAGAATTTCTTCAGAATTCCTCCATAACTTTCCCTAGGAAATTCTCCAAAATAGCTTTTTAATATTTTTCTAGAAATTCTCGTTGAAATTCTCAGGACTTGGGTCACCATTTGACGAATTTTTTCGGAAATGGATTAAAAAATTTCTAGAATTTCCTGAAAATTGATCCGAAATCTAGAATGTCTTCAAATTCTGTCGACATTTTCACCGAGATTTTCCTGAAACCAATTTCGGGAAATTTTGGGGAATTTTCCGCACAATTAATGTAACCATGGCAATATAGCACCAAAATCTTTCAATATTATTTAATATTTATTTTTAGTTTTGCTTTAGTGTTAAAATAATATTTAAAAAATATACTTTTTCAGATTTTCAAAATGACGTGAAAAATCATAATTTTTACAAAAATGGGTATTGTTATTCCAGGAATATTTATCCTCTCATTTTTCGCCCCAGGTCATTTTATCATTATCATTTATGTTGTTAATATTATTATTTTTATTAAGTATTATAATTATCATCATGAATATTTTAACTGTTAATATTATAACCATTATTGATTTTTACCAAGGTAATTATTACTTCAAATTACTTTATAATTATTATCATTGTCATTTATGATGTTTACCAAGGTATTTATTACTTCAAATTACTTTATAATTATTATCATTATCATTTATGATTTTTACCAAGGTATTTATTACTTTAAATTACTTTATAATTATTATCATTATCATTGTCATTTATGATATTTAGTAAGGTATTTATTACTATAAATTACTTTATAATTATTATCATTATCATTGTCATTTATGATATTTAGTAAGGTATTTATAACTATAAATTACTTTACAATTATTATCATTATCATTATCATTTATGATTTTTACCAAGGTATTTATTACTTTAAATTACTTTATAATTATTATCATTCAGTGTTATTATTATTTAAAACATTTTACCTTAAAATAGGTTTGAGTATACGGTGCTACGAGTGCACATCAAGGAATCATTCTAATATTCATTGTGAGGTAATTTAGAGTAATTTTTCACCTTTTTGAATCCACCAAATGATCAATCAAAAATTCGATGCTTTCTGTGGATTTTACCAAAAATGTTGTTCAGTGTCCAATATGATAATCGAAATGTTAACTCTGAAATAAAGTAATCATATTTTTTAAATTATATTTTCCCATTTCAAATTAAAATGGTTGGGATAGAAATGATAGGCTAAAGTCAGTGCAGTTTGAAAAATATAAGCCCTATGAGTCAATACCCCCCCCCCTTCCACCCCCACCCCCAAAATTTAGAGTAAAGCACATGTGATAATGTATTATCGATTTGTTCTTCTTGGCTGGTCATACTTTTTGTATTATGTACATACGTACACTAATACTTAGAATCTGCCAAAATATACAAGAAAAAGAAAAAGGAGTGCTGAACATTGCGTACATTGCATATTGCACATTGCACATTGAGCATGTTAATTTTTGATTATTAGTATTATATCTATATCCTCTTCATGTTTGTTGTATTTTAAATTATGTAAAAAAAGGAAATGTAGCGAAGATTCTAAGTTGAAAAAAAAATATTTTATTTTATTGCATATTGGAAATTAAACAATTTTTTACTTAGTTTGACGCGATCGAAAGATAATCGATGACTGTAGGTTGTAATATCTGAATGATTTGTTTGAAATTAAATAGATTTTTTTACGGTCTAAGTCGTATGTTGCATCTTTCTGAATTTGTATGACCACTACGTTCTTCGGTATTAGCCGTTTTTAACAATTTTCTCCTTATAGACGCAACAGATAGAAGTAAGACCCCCTCTCTTAGTTGCACCCCCCCCTCGGCCCCCCTTTACCCCCTCTCTTAGTTGCATGGTAAACTTTAGTTGGATATTATGCGGTCAAGAGACTTATAAACTTCTTGTCAAAGTTTTGGAAACTTTTTAGAAAGCTTTTCTGCTGCTGCTGAGTGCTGCTAGCCTCCTATTTAGGAATTAGAAGGAACCTTTAAGGGGAGTGACCGACACTGTATGGTAGTTCAACTGAGAATGTAGTATTGTGGAGAAATTTTTTCGGATTTTTTTTTCAGATATATACGTTATATAAAATTTTAATGATGTATAATTACTGAGTTTGAGCGCAAAGTCGATTTTCAAAATCATCCAAAATCATCAAAAATTTTTAGCCCAATCGGTCCAGCCGTTTGGCCGCCTATAGGCAACATATATATAAACGAATGTCTTGTTTTATTCTATAAGATAATATAAGAGATAATGATGATGTGTAAAGGATTAAATATAATATCTATGCATTTGCATGAAAGACATAAAAATAAATGAATATTATATGGTTAGGATTTAGGATAATAAAAAGATAGATAGACAGATAGTAGTGATCTATCAGTCACTTATTATAAGAGGTTATCATGAACATCCTGACAAAAAACTTCAGTATCAATGATAAAAAGTCGTCAATTATATCAAAAGGGAAAGGTCTTCAAATCATCGCCTGTTAAACATTTTATTTTAAATGCAAAATTTTATAACGTAAACATATCTTTTCATTAGAAAAAAAATATTTTTATACAAAAAAATAACAATTTATTCGTTAAAAAACAGTGAAATATAGAATGAGGAAAATCATGAAATATCTAAGATAAACAGTAAGAGTCTGAACAAAATGCAAAATGTTATTTTTATACTCCCTTGCTATATGATATGTATCTGGGTATATTTTTATACTCCCTTGCTATATAATATTTATCTGGGTATATTTGTGTGTATCCAATTAACGTAACCGATCGGGCCGCCTTTAACAAAATTCGATTTTTTTAATTTAAAAAAACGAAATTTTTGGTATAATCAGCGAAATTTTTTTTGTTTTTATTTTACAATGTTTACAAAGAAAAACCGTTCACAATTGAAGTAAAAGATAGATAAATCCTAGTGTTAATATGTTTGATCTATATTTATATATAATCTTTATAGCATCTGCATTATATGGAGGGGGGGGGGGCTAGTAAGTTTTTTTTTATGATTTTGTTATTTTACAAATCTAGTTTTTATCTTATCTTATCTTATCTTATCTTATCTTATCTTATCTTATCTTATCTTATCTTATCTTATCTTATCTTATCTTATCTTATCTTATCTTTATCTCAGGACCCAATGAGCCCAGCTTTGAGTAACTACGAGCAGAACTGCATGGTGCCAAAGGAAAAAATCTATTTATAATTAATTTAAATGAAAATAATGTATGACGACGCTTCGTCAAACAAAAAAAATTTGAAAATACCAAAATACCCATATTTTTGGATTATCTCCAAGAATTAACACTGGAATAATGCTCGAAAAACCTAGGGTTTTCTGCATGCAAATATTTTATTAGGCTTACACAATTTTTTAAAAAGTTTTTTTAAGTTTTCTGATTAGTCCGTAAAATCTCAATTCAGAGCCATAAACGATCCGAAATGATGTGGTACACCCTGTATTTGGTGATAAAATACGTTTTTTTAAAGGAGGGGCATATGGGAAACTTTCCAGCAAACTTCTGCGTCAAGGTCTATGGAACTTCAGGTGAGTTAAAAGGACTATAAAGGGACTATAAAGGGACTATAAAGGGACTATAAAGGGACTATAAACGGACTATAAACGGACTTTAAAGGACTGTAAAGGGACTATAAAGGGACTTTAAAGGGACTATAAAGGGACTATAAAGGGACTTTAAAGGACTATAAAGGGACTATAAAAGGACTATAAAGAGACTATACAGGGACTATAAAGAGACTATAAACGTAATTTTAAGTGACCCCGAACAAAAAATGTACCATTTGGCTTTTGGACCTGAATATATATATATATATATTTATAAATAAGAAAATAATTAATCAAAATATGATTTAAAGTTTTATTGTATCAACATAATTTTTAACAATTTTCTCCTTATAGACGCAACAGATAGAAGTAAGATTAGTGGCGATCAAAAGCGCTTTTTTATCGCATTAAGCCTATACCCCCTTTCATTTTTCGCGAACACTCCCTTTAAAGGGACTATGGAACTAACATTAAGAGCATATAGAGCATGCTTGTTCAACAACATCAAGCCCTTTATGCCCTTTTTTGAATTAAGAGTGAGGAAAAATTGTCGTTTTTTGTCTGAAAATAAATTAAAATTTTCTTAGTTTTCTGCGTTGTCTATCATGCATAAATTTGTAAGCCACATTTATTGAGAAACCATGGTTGGAATACATCAATTTTTAGATAGAAAAACAAGGACTGCTCACTGAGTTTACTCAGAAAAAGAAATGAAGGTTTATGAATAGGATATACAAACCTTTTTAATATAATATTGTTTAGCTCGGACTGGAGAGTTTCTTATGATCCGTCGGTGTGCCCTGGAGGACATGAACTCACAGTGCGGTAGATACAAATTCCAGGTTATTGTTGTTCTGTTAGATTTTTGTACAATAATGTTAGTTTTGTTTTACATTCGTTAGTTTTGTTTTACATTCGTTAGTTTTGTTTTACATTTCTTAGTTTTGTTTTACATTTCATAGTTTTGTTTTACATTTTTAGTTTTGTTTTACATTTGTTAGTTTTGTTTTACATTTTTTAGTTTTGTTTTAAATTTGTTAGTTTTGTTTTACATTTCATAGTTTTGTTTTACATTTCTAAGTTTTGTTTTTAATTTCTTAGTTCTGTTTTACTTTTTTTAGTTTTGTTTTACATTTCTTAGTTTTGTTTCATATTTGTTAGTTTTGTTTTACATTTGTAATTTTTTTGTTTTACATTTCTTAGTTTTGTTTTACATTTCTTAATTTTGTACTACATGTGTTAGATTTGTTTTGCATTTCTTAATTTTGTTTTACATTTGTCAGTTTTGTTTCATATTTGTTAGTTTTGTTTTACATTTGTTAGTTTTGTTTTACATTTCTAAGTTTTGTTTTTAATTTCTTAGTTCTGTTTTACATTTTTTTAGTTTTGTTTTACATTTCTTAGATTTGTTTCATATTTGTTAGTTTTGTTTTACATTTGTTATTGTTTTGTTTTACATTTCTTAGTTTTGTTTTACATTTCTTAGTTTTGTTTTACAGTTTTTAGTTTTGCTTTACATTTTTTAGTTTTGTTTCATATTTGTTAGTTTTGTTTTACATTTGTTAGTTTTGTTTTACATTTTTTAGTTTTGTTTTACATTTCTTAGTTTTGTTTTACATTTGTTAGTTTTGTTTTATATTTCTTTGTTTTGTTTTACATTTTATAGTTTTGTTTTACATTTCTTAGTTTTTTAATATCTAAGGTAGAGAATGTTATTAAACATTTTTGATATGTCGTCTTTTTTAAATTTTCTTTGGAGGTTTATAGAAGAAGACGACATTTTAACTTTTTTCAATTTTTTGAAAATAATTTATATGTTTTAGAATGACACGTATGAGAGTGGATGCATTCTAACTTGCAAACATGATGGATGCAACTCAGGTAGGCATTCAATCAATCAATTAACAATCAATTTGTTAGTAAATTAACAAATCAACTAATCAATTTATCAATCACTTAATTAATCAATCAATCATTCAATAAATCAATCAATTTGTAAATAAATTAATAAATCAATTAATAAATAAATAAACCAATCAACAAATAGATTAATCAGTTAATCTATAAATCTATAAATCTATCAATCTATAAATCTATCAATCTATCAATCTATTAATCTTTCAATCTATCAATCATCAATCTTTCAATCTGTCAATCTATAAATTTATCAATCATTCAATCTGTCAATCTATAAATTTATCAATCATTCAATCTGTCAATCTATAAATTTATCAATCATTCAATCTGTCAATCTATAAATTTATCAATCATTCAATCTGTCAATCTATAAATCTATCAATCTATGAAAGCAGAAACATATTATTTAATTCTTTACAATGTTGATGATTCATATAAAAAGATTAATTTGCCTACAGGTTTTCAAAACCCCTTTAGATGCAAAGAAAATTCATAGAAGAAAACTTGTAAATAAATAAAATAAATATTTAGATTGGAAAAAATAATATAATCAACATTTAGGAATATCCCTCGGCTCTACCGGCGCCTTGTTCTTCATCTTGCCATTACTGAATATACGTAAGATTACCATAATTCATGAATGCCGTTTTTTAAATTCAAATATATGTTTTAAAGTTTTTAATCATTCATTTTAGTCATAAATTGACCTTAAGAATTGGAAAACAAAATATAAAAGTACAAACAACTATTATTTTTTAGACCACAGAGTTGACTGAAGATTGAAAATTTTCAATATGAGTTCTGGATTGAGAAAGAAAAGGAAAAAGAGAAAAAGAAAAGATTGAATGCATTTTTATGAGAGCATTTGTTATTTTTTTCTGGTAAATATAAACTTATCAAATATTCTCCCGCGAGATGTTTGATCTTGAAGCGAAAAAACCTTTAATTTTTTCAAACTGAATAAAATTTTAAACATTTAAATTAAATTAGAAATATAAAAATTACATTATTATCATAAATATATGTTTTTCTTGATCTGCATGAATAAACAAAAAAAAAATTTTTTGGGGGAGTTTCATTCTTTAAAAAATATTTTTTCTTTACAAAAATAAAATATTTTCGATAAAATATGTTGTCATCTTTAAATTTAAAACTGAAAAGCTTTTAATTTTCTAACCTTGTAAATTAAATGCTTTTAAAATTAAAAAAAATTTTTTTAAAATATTTAGCTTCAAAATCTTCACAGATTACACATACATAATTTACTTCAGTACGCTCTAGAACTTTGCTATCTTTTAATATAAAAAATCTGACACAGACTTTTTGAAAAAAATCTCAAGTAATGAAAACGAATTGGAAAACTTTCATTTTCGTACAAATGTTTTAATTTCAAAAAATCATTTTTTCCTTAATTTGATCAATGTTTGTACAGTTAAATGTTACTGCTATTAAAGCTTACCTTAATTAGAAAGCAATAAATGTTAATAAAAAACCCGTGTTTCAAATATATGTCTTTTTATTGCTCATCGTAGGTTTCTGTACATATCACATTTCTAACTGGAGGTTATGTTTAATGATACCAAATAACAGATTTTTTAAATCATTCCAAAGATAAAAAATTTGAAAAGTTTATGAGTATTCACGAGGAGTATTTATTTTTCTTTCTAAATACGCATATTGGAATGATTTTACATGTTTTTTTATACGCGTCTAATCTCAAACTTAATAGTTTTCCTTGCATAATGATAATTTAATCTAAAGATTTTTTAAGAATATTTTTTAGATATTTAATTTTACTGTATTTTACTGTGGGTCGTCTTCAATATTCGAAAGTTGTGCAACTTAAAAATAAAGATAAAATATTAATCCTTCATTGGAAAATAGATCTTGCAAAATAGATTTAATAACGCAGTACTTTTAGGAATCACAAAACTAATTTAATTTTCAACTTATGAAGACGACATATATAATCCACTTTTTACATTTTCAAAGTGGACACTGGACAGAGTATGCTTTATATTTATAACGCGTTAAGCAAGAATTATTTCACAATATTTCTAAATATTACAGCTTTGGCTTTCAATTAAGAATTATATAATAATTCGCAAAATTCTTTTGACTAAAAATACTGTACTGTACTGTACTGTACTGTACTGTACTGTACTGTACTGTACTGTACTGGACTGTACTGTACTGTACTGTACTATACTGTACTGTACTGTACTGTACTTCACTGTACAGTACTGTACTGTACTGTACTGTACTGTACTGTACTGTACTGTACTGTACTTTACTGTATTGAACTGTACTGTACTGTACTGCACTGTACTGTACTGTACTGTACTGTACTGTACTGTACTGTACTGTACTGTACTGCACTGTACTTCACTGTACTGTACCGTACTATACTGTACAGTGTACAGTACTCTACTCTACTGTACTGTACTGTACTAAACTGTACTGTACTGTACTGTACTGTACTGTACTGCACTGTACTGTACTGTACTGTACTGTACTGTACTGTACTGTACTGTACAGCACTGTACTTCACTGTACTGTACTGTACCGTACTATACTGTACAGTGTACAGTACTCTACTCTACTGTACCGTAATTTCGGAATGTACATTATTCAACTTGATAATTATGATTACAATTGCTCCAATTGCTCTGATTAAAAAAAAGAATAGTAAGACGACCTTTATAATTGTATTACATTGTTTAAATATTTTGTTTTGTGCATTTCAAAATCCGAACTTGATTCATCAAAACTATTCTTTACTTTCATATTAATGAAAATGTGAGTTATGTTTTGAAGATAAAAATCTATGCATTTTATTTTCTAAAAACTGAACACTTGGCCCAAACTCTAATTTTTAAATTCCTAAATCTTTGGAACCTGACGGTGAAACCCTCTAATATTTTCATTTAAATATGCTTAATGTATAGTGGATTTCATACTTTTAACATTTAAAGGTTGCAAAGATATAATGTTTAAAAAATAGATTTTCAGAAAGTGCTTAGTTCCTATAGTTAATATATAACTTAGTTCCTATTGTTTGCGAATCTTACAACTTGCATTAACGTATATATATATATTGTTAACATTAATGTGCGTCACATAAGGCAATACGGATCTGCTAGAAAAAGTATTCCCATCTCTTTATCGAAGCTATAAAAGTACTCTATTGAAGTCGGAAAAGTATTCCCATCTCCCTCTCTCTATAAAATCTAAAAAAGTACACCCATCTCCCTGTAAAAGCTAGAAAAGTACTCCCACCTCTCTCTCTCTCTGTAGAAGCTAAAAAAGTACTCCATCTCTGTATAGAAACTAGAAAAGTACTCCCATCTTTGTTTGAAAACTAGAAAAGGACTCCCATCTCTCTATCTATAGAAGCTAGAAAAGTACTCCCATCTCTCTCTTTTTAAAAGCTAGAAAAGTACTCTCATCCATCTCTTTTTAAAAGCTAGAAAAGTACTCTTATCTCTCTCTTTATAGAAGCTAGAAAAGTACTCCCATCTCTCTCTCTATAAAAGCTAGAAAAGTACTCCTATTTCTCTCTCTACATAAGCTAGAAAAGTACTCCCATCTCTCTCTCTATATAAGCTAGAAAAGTACTCCAATCTCTCTCTTTTTAAAAGCTAGAAAAGTACTCTCATCTATCTCTTTTTAAAAGCTAGAAAAGTACTCCCATCTCTCTCTTTTTAAAAGCTAGAAAAGTACTCCCATCTATCTCTCTATAGAAGCTAGAAAAATACTCCCATCTCTCTCATTATAGAAGGTAGAAAGTACTCCCACTTCTCTCGCTGTAGAAGCTAGAAAAGTACTCCCATCTCTCTATATATAAAAGCTAAAGCTAGAAAAGGACTCCCATCTCTCTCTCTATAAAAGCTATAGCTAGAAAAGGACTCCCATCTCTCTTTAAAGAAGCTGGAAAAGTACTCCCATTTATGTATAGAAACTAGAAAAGTACTCTTATCTCTATCTCTCTATAAAAGCTAGTAAAGTACTCCCATCTCTCTCTCTATAGAAGCTAGGAGCTGTTGTTCTGTTGGGTCATAAGCAGGAACACTTCCCGGCATATCAGCTTCACTGTAACTCCTAAAAACAAAATTAAACTCAAGTCAAACTGAAGTAAAGTACATTTTAGATGGAAATCTTAAAAGATATTTTATCATAATTCATAACTCATCTTATTCAACAGATATTGAGACGAAAAAAACAATGTTTTGAATTCATAATATCGCCCTTGAGCGTAAAATCAGAACTCGAGTAGCAACGGAGTCACAAAAGTCGTAACAGTAATGCTAATGGTACTTTCCCGTCCCAAATAGATTATCAAGTACAATAGGTGGCAACAAGTGCCAAATATAACAAGGAAAAACGAAATTTTCTCACATTAGTTGACAAGTTTTCCAAGATTAAATAGAAAATTAGAAATAATTTTGTCGGACACAAAAACTGAGTTGACACTTGTGACGTCAGAATACAGGTGTACTGAGAGTGTACAAAGTACAAAGTTTGCAGTGAACTGTGTTTTCTTCCAGAGAAAAATATTTTTGAATTTAAAAAAAAGAAATGTCCCTTTTCAAAAATAGATTTCTTAATTAGCTCGATTGGTTGACTAATTTTAAAATCCTGCACGTGAGAAAAAGTTTTTTTTCTGATAGGGACATATTGGGAGGTTTTGTCATAATGTTTTTTTTATATAAAACTAGCTGAAGGGCCCAGCGTTGCCTGTGGAAAGAAAAAATGAGTAAAATTTTTTGTTTTTAAAATTCAAATTTGTATTAGCCTATAACATCCCCCGGCCACCCATGAGTGTCCACAAAAAATTTCAGCCCAATCGGTCCAGCCGTTTGGCCGTCTATAGGCAACATATATATATACGAATGTCTTGTTTTATTATATAAATATATGAACTTCCTTTTATGGGACTGAAGACGACATTTCAGGTAACCCTTCATTTTAATTTAAAGGTTACTTAAATTTACACCTACAGTCCCTTTAATACTTAATTTACACCTACAGTCCCTTTAATACTTAATTTACACCTACAGTCCCTTTAATACTTAAATTTACAGCTACAGTCCCTTTAATACTTAAATTTACAGCTACAGCCCCTTTAATACTTATATTTACAGCTACAGTCCCTTTAATACTTAAATATACACCTACAGTACATTTAATACTTAATTTACACCTACAGTCCCTTTAATACTTAATTTACACCTACAGTCCCTTCATTACTCATTACTAAAGTACAGTCCCTAAAGTACAGTCCCTAAAGTACAGTCCCTAAAGTACAGTCCCTAAAGTACAGTCCCTTAAAGTACAGTCCCTAAATTACAGTCCCTAAATTACAGTCCCTAAAGTACAGTCCCTAAAGTACAGTCCCTAAAGTACAGTCCCTAAAGTACAGTTCCTAAAGTGCAGTCCCTAAAGTACAGTCTCTAAAGTACAGTACCTAAAGTACAGTTCCTAAAGTACAGTCTCTAAAGTACAGTCCCTAAAGTACAGTCCCTTAAAGTACAGTCCCTAAATTACAGTCCCTAAATTACAGTCCCTAAAGTACAGTCCCCAAAGTACAGTCCCTAAAGTACAGTCCCTAAAGTACAGTCCCTAAAGTACAGTCCCTAAAGTACAGTCCCTAAAGTACAGTCCCTAAAGTACATTCCTTAAGTAAGTCCCAAAAGTACAGTCCCTGAAGTACAGTTCAAAAAGTACAGTCCCTGTTACACCTACAGTACATTTAATACTTAAATTTACACCTACAGTACATTTAATACTTAAATTTACACCTACAGTCCCTTTAATACCTAAAGTACAGTCCATAAAGTACAGTCCCTAAAGTACAGTCCCTAAAGTACAGTCCTTAAAGTACAGTCCCTAAAGTACAGTCCCTGAATTACAGTCTCTTAAGTACAGTCCCTAAAGTAAAGTCCCTAAAGTACAGTCCTTAAAGTACAGTCCCTAAAGTACAGTCCCTAAAGTACAGTCCTTAAAGTACAGTCCCTAAAGTACGTCCCGAAAGTACAGTACCTAAAGTACAGTACCTAAAGTACAGTCCCTAAAGTACAGTCCTTAAAGTACAGTCCCCAAAGTACAGTCCCTAAAGTACAGTCCCTAAAGTACATTCCTTAAGTAAGTCCCAAAAGTACAGTCCCTGAAGTACGTCCTTCCTAAAGTACAGTACCTAAAGTACAGTCCCTAAAGTACAGTCCCTAAAGTACAGTACCTAAAGTACAGTACCTAAAGTACAGTACATAAAGTACAGTACCTAAAGTACAGTACCTAAAGTACAGTACCTAAAGTACTTACATATTTGACGGATTTTGAATAAGAAGAAGGCTGTGTTTATCCTGTCGTTGTTGAGATCTAGGGTTGGAGGTAGAGTTGGCCACGCGGAACTTTTCCGGATCAAAACCGTCGATTTTTACCTGGAAATTAAGACTAAATGTGAGATGTTGTACAGTGAAAACCAGTGAAAACCAAAAAACAATGGAACCAGAAGACGACTTTTAAACTCAAGCCATGACTTTGCATTAGGGTTTTTACTTGCGCGCAATTGCGAGCCCTGTAAACACCGCGCAATTCCGTGCATTTACGCACATTTAGAGTACAGTTCCGCGCAGTCTTGCGCAATGGAATTCTGATTGGAAACCCTACTTTACATGGTCCAATAAACAAGAGACATAGCAATTGCAAGTAGTGTAGTGTAAACAGACCTATTTCACATAAAAAGTAAATTATAATTAAATACAGCGATAACCAGAAAATTCTGGAATAGAAAGGTGACTTTTAAAATTAAATTTTGACTTTAGATAGTCCAATGAGCACGGGAAACAAATATTATTCAGTGTAAACAGACCCATTTCACTTGATTTGTGATTTAATAAGTGTCTAGTAAAACTATTTGCTTTATAACAACATCAAATACACTTAAGTATTGCTATAAAGTCGTCTTCCTATTTCGGAGTTGTGTGGTCATCACTGTAGTAATACTATTTGCTTTGTAACAACATCAAAAACATTTAAGTATTGCTTCCTTTCCTTTTCCACAGTTTTCCGGTTCTTACTGTGTAAGATAATACTTTTTTTTTAATTTAATTTTTTCAAACTTTAGTGAAAAATGAAAAATTACAGACTTTTTTTGCTGGCAGGACATCATATCACAGTTAAAAAAACTAACACAAGATCAAAAATACATAAACTTACAAACTAATCTTGAATAGAATTTGGTGGATTCTCAACGCTACCCTTTCGAGTTTTATATGGACAAGAATAAATAAATAAATATATAATATATAAATAAGATTCCCATCGGTAGTCGGTTCCCTTCACAGCTTTTGTTTGATCAAGAACCAATAAGATATCCATGTTTGTAACTGGTCTCTTTATAACACTGACTTCCGGATGTATGCTACTGAAACAATGAAGGAAGTTGTGAGAATGAAACACATTTTCCAAAATTAAAGGTCATATATGGGTACCGTTGTGAATCAGGCATGCTCTCTATATAGTGAGGGTTGACACACCGCGCTCACATAAAGGGGATCATTCATTAGGTACTGTCCCATTTTGCCTGATATAATCTGTATTTCTACTGTAGAGCTTGTTCTTCCTTATTAATTTAACGGGAGTTTACAGTGAGCTTCTTCATGGTGGATTAGGGTCAATTTGAATTCTATACGGACCGACCTCTTGTACCAACCTTAGTGACGCCTGGGGACTGGCCAGTACACCGGACACCCCGGTTTTAACTTTTATGGCGCGGCCAGACTTTTTACAGTACCCGGCCTATCATAGACCTATTTAACCTGCCCCACTAGCTTAGTTTGGTGTGGCTTTACCTTAGATAATGTCCAGCTGTCCTCTTGTTCAGGATATGGTCGGTCATTCCAACTTAACCGGACATTTCCTTTCTTACTCATCATACGCTTCCTAAAGAATATTAAACAAGGTACACACAAGGCATTTTCCCAAGGGCGACTTCCCAAGTGGCAACTTCCCAAAAGTTTAATTTCCAAAGCGGAAAATTTCCAAATGCGCCGCAGGCTACAATAAGGGCCGAGCCCTAGGCGGCTATGATGGGCTATGGGGCCGAGGGCTGTAGCTAGGGACAAACTTGGGAAGTTGGCGCTTAGGAAATTGCCTTTGGGAAAGTACTTAAAATCCAGGCAAAAAAAAATTAGATTCTCCAGACGATGGAATTTTTATTTATTTTTTGTCACTTTTTTCTATCTTTGCCCAATAATTTAGAATACCATTAAAAACTAAAAAACTAAAAAATATTTATTCAATTGCATTCTTTTACCCGTTCATAAGCAATGTCTTAGATGTGTTATTGAGACTGGCTCCTCCTGTATCTTCGTCATTCTGAAAAATTGAAAAATTTTGAAAAAATTTTAAATACAAGAAATTTAAATTTAGTGTTATATGAAGATCATGTGTGATTCTTCTTTAAAGTTTTAATGCTAATAAATATTTTGGGCTAGAACTAAATACACCAAAACTACAACTTATTAANGGGGGGGGGGGGGGGAAATTAATTAAAGAAAAAAGAAAAAATGCTAATCTGACAAATTAAAAATGAATCTGTTTTGAAAAATTACCTCCGCCAAACCATTTCTAAATTGTTGTTGATGTCCTCCATGGCTAAACATGTGATCATTATCAAAGCTGTGTCCGCCATTGTTTTTGTGGTGGCCGCCATTAATCAGCTGATGATGGCCGCCATTATTCAGCTGATGATGGCCGCCATTAACGCCATTTTGTGGAACTGCTCTTCCCCGCTCATCCAAACCTTAGAAATAAGAATAATAAAAATAATGAAAATTATTAGAATTAAACTAATTTCAATAATAATGATAATAGTTCTAATAATGATGATGTATATAATAATAATAATAATAATAATGATAAAAATAATTTATATCATAACCTATTTTAGAAAAGTATTTTTTGAAATTAAAACAAACCTAGACGATCAAATGTGGATTCCAAATCTTCAATATCATTCCTAATTAAAGAATATTTTAATTATACAATTTTAAGCCCTCAGTGAATCAACAACATTATGGAAATTTTATGAAAATCAGAAACAATCAAATAACGTAGAATATAAGTGATCACATAAAACCAACCGTTAATCAATTTCAAAGTTTTCAAATCCAGGGCTGCAAAAAAATATCCTTGAAAATTCACTGTTCAGTGTTTACCTAAGCGTTAGATCTATTCCCCGTTTACTTTCTTCAAAGTCATCTGTGTCGGTTTCACTTTCTAAAAATATAAAACATAAAATCTGAAAAATTAAATTTGTTTAGCGAAATTTCGCTTCAATCTGTTTCGCGAAAAAATGTGAAATTTTCGTGAAATAGGAAATGCAAAAATTTCGCAAGAAAAAAACGGAAATTATGCAAAAAAACATGAAAATTTCGCGAAAAAATACTGTCGATGTAAAAGATTCTTTCTTGTATTTGGCTGGCTCATGGCTAGCTGGATTTAGGTGAACGTGAAATCAAATTCTCTTCACAAACATTTATTAAAGTAAAGGAAGAGAAATTGTTAATATGATATTATAAAACTTCAAATATTGAGCTCTCAGAGCAAAGAATTCCACAAGTTTTTTTTTTGCGCAATGAGATGTTGCAGCTACAACACTTTTCGCATTTCGCATCGTTTTCACATTTTTTCACTTCATTCATTTTTGCGAACAAATGCGAAATTTCGAGAAAAAATTTGCGAAATATGAATGAAAATTTTTGCATTTTTTCGCATTTTTTTCGCGAAACGTTTCGTTTGCTGGAAACCGACATTTATACGGTTATTAAAAGTACGTTAATATACATTTAAAAATATATTTATAATATATATATATAATATACATTAATAAAAAGTAAAAAACTAAAAATTCACCAAACATATGTTTAGATTAGATACCTGTAAGTAGAATTTAAGAAATAAGAATAGAGTCATATCTGAAGCTATTTTGTGTCGTGACAGACAATTTTGACTTGAGTTTTTAGGGGTGTTGAGAAGTTTTTTTCTATCTGTTGGTAAATACAATATGAAGCTAGCTATCCAGGCTAAAATATTTTTAATCACACCATATGTATTGGAACAAACGAAACAAATCGCATTATTTTTATTAGGGAAAAATATCATACTTTTGTCTTTTATTGGTTTATGAACACATTTTTGCAAAACCTTTTTTCCTCTACGGAAACCTTATCGTGGTTTATCTATCTATCTACGAAGAGAAAGCTATTCCTCGCATTGATATTTTTAACCAAAGCAAGCTTGAGTAATTTAGCAGATTTTGGATCAATAAGCAGCGCTGTTGCAAATTAACCTCAGGGTTTGCTACACACACACACACACATAGTCCATAAAAATTAAAGGGAGTGACCGGCAAGTCATGATATTTGAGCAGTGCAGAATTGTAGAGAAATTTCAGACATGCCGCGCCACTGCCTGTGGGGCAGGCGGGCGCCAATGAGGATATATAGGAATTTTTGCTCTTGCGGAAGAATTTTACTTCGTAAAAACGTCTTAGAGGTTTCAAATGAATTCGAAAAGATGACTCTACATTAATGTACTCTCAGCTCAACTACAATGTCTACGCGAGCCTTTTAACAAAAAAAGAAAAAATATGTAGAAACTAAAAATATATGCATAATTTCGCAGTATTATTTTGTACAAGAAAAGAACTACATTTTTGCCACAAGCTCAAATTTTGTAGTCCCAATATCTTCGCAATCTGATGGCGTAAACCTTTGATATTTCAAACTATGAATTCTGTAAGATCAAAAAGTTTAAGTTTGTAAAATTAATGTTTTACACAAATTTGAGTTTGAAATAACAAAGGTACTTCTACGAAAAAACGGGTTGCAAAGATATAGGAATTAAAAAATCAGAGTTTGCGGCAAAAACTCAGTTTGTAGTTTACCTGAAGAATCTAAATCTACTATTTTTCGTTTTGCTTCAGAATTACTTCGGCCAAATGCTCTGCTCAGAAACTGAAATTCATATATATTTTAGAAATTAACCAAAGAAAGTGATTTTTTTTAGATTTTTGAAGAAATTTAAACTAATGGTTAGCAGGGGTCCATAAAATTCCATCTGATCAATCCCAAATATTGATTGATTGATTGATATTAGGGGCAGAAAAAAACCATGTTGTTATTGTGAACAATTGGAAGTATAATGTCAAGTTGTAGAAATATTCCATACTGCAGAATGTTTACTGCAAGGCAGTGTTTATTTTTCGGTATATCATTAATTTATCTCTTATATCAAATACTAATATTTACATCTATTAACACCCCAAATACAGTACACATTTCTGAAGTGTAGTACACGTACTCAAAAACTTGTCAAAGTTTACAAATTACAATGACGTATAAAGTGTACTTTCATGCCCCGAAATGAACTTTCAACCCCGATCCCATTTGGGATCAGAAAATTCAGAAAATAGTATTATCGAGGAAAAGAAAAAGATGAAGTGCCATACAGTGAGAGTGAGACCCATAAAAAAAGACGATAAATTGCTTTCAGCAAATAGCTTTAAAATAAATTATTATATAAAATTGGCAGTGGGAACACGATTGCTGTTTTTATGTTTATTTTTTAATTAAAAAAGCATAACTTGAGTCTAATAACCTTCTTCCTGCTCCACAATTGTATGGATCCTACTGTAGGTTAATAGTTTCTTCCCTCCAATAATTGTATGGATCCTACTGTAGGTTGATAGTTTCTATCCTCCAATAATTGTATGGATCCTACTGTAGGTTGATAGTTTCTATCCTCCAATAATTGTATGGATCCTACTGTAGGTTAATAGTTTCTATCCTCCAATAATTGTATGGATCCTACTGTAGGTTGATAGTTTCTATCCTCCAATAATTGTATGGATCCTACTGTAGGTTGATAGTGTCTACCCTCCAATAATTGTATGGATCCTACTGTAGGTTGATAGTTTCTACCCTCCAATAATTGTATGGATCCTACTGTAGGTTGATAGATTCTACCCTCCAATAATTGTATGGATCCTACTGTAGGTTGATAGTTATAATAATAAATGTATTTCAAACTAGATTGATTGATACATAACATTTTATGGTCAATGTATATATAAGTATATAAGTCGAAAAATTAAAATTTATCCTTCCAACTTGTTGGGTATCAATTTTCACGAAAAAAGTATTAAAAGACTAAATTCAATCTTCGTCGGTTTGAAGTTTTATACTTTGTTTATTATGAAGAGAAAGTTAGGAATATTTCACAGGTTTTATATCATAGCATTTCGAATTTCGAAATGCTAGTTTTTTTAATTCAAGTTTAACTAAAGAAAATTTCGCGTAAATTTATACGTTTTTTTAAAATAACTTCCTTAATTAAAAAGCTATTGAGAAAAAAACATGTAACTGACAAAAATTGATTTTTTTATACTTGTGCATAAACTAGAGGAGCTACCACTCCTGTATGCTGAGTCCATTAGCGCCTGATCAGGGTTTAGTCATGTGTTTGGTGTCTATTCTGAACCAATAGAAATAGTATGGCGGTAACATCTATCTTTGTATCTATCTCATTATCCAATCAGAGATATGAATCCCTATATCGGCGCTATCAGTAAATGGAAATATTTACTTCTACTGAAACTATAGTGCCACGAGGTCAGAAAGCCGTGCTGGCGATGTTGTATAAATTTCAACTACGCCTTCTCTGCCTAGTTTCCGATGGTTTAGGAGTGCATTTCCAAAATGCGTATTCTATAGTCGAGTTTATAGGAAATATCGATTAGGGGAAATCCAGGTAATGTTTTGTTCCGTGTTGTTTCAAGAATGATTAATATTTATGTCTGGTTAACTAGTTAATTTATGGTTAATTACTTAATTTATGGTTAATTACTAAAAACAAACTGTAATTAAAACATTGTGCTAACATTAATGCAGTAGGGCGAACCAATACAAGTGAACTCAAGTGTTGATCTTTAATAGACAAATTAACTTTTAAACACCAAAGAAAGTGCAGTGCACACAGACCAATTTTACTTAACAAGCAGATTTCCAAGATATTTACTGTTTTATTCGTAACAACAACGATACACACAATGATTAATTAAATGTCGTCCTCCTATTCTATAATGTATAGGTTCCATTATATCAAAAAGTGTTTAATGTTTGAACCCGGCCAAAGTTATTAAATGCTTTAGAAGATGACATTTCATGCAAGTTTTAATTAAAAATTTTTAATTTGGAAAATTAAATAATTTATTTCAATGAATAAGGGCGTCCCAATAAACATGGGAATTCAGTGACAAATTCGATATCGTCTTTTTTGGGACACCCTGTAGTAAGTTTTGCATAGATGCAGTAGTAACCAGAAATCTGTAAACATATTGCCGTCACCTTTTTTTAATTGTGAAATTACGCTTATGATTTTTAATCTTGTGATTAGTATAGCTAATATTTTTCTAATAATGATTAGGCAGAATTTAGTTAAAAAGGGAAATGAGTTTTTGCCACAAACTCAAATATTTTAATCCATTACTTTTGCAACCCGATGTCGGAGAACTTTAATATGTCAATATTGTAATCAATGAATTCTGTTAGATGTTCGGAATATCATGGGTTCACGCCATCAGGTTGGAATTAGTGATTAGAAAATTTTACTTTGTGACAAAAACTCAGTTTTTTTGAATTGTTGATCTCGAGATACATGCTTGATCTGAACATTTGTTAATCTACAGATTAATTTAATGTTTATTCGATATTCTGTGAAGAGTGTCGTCTGTATGAAAACGAACAGCCAATCAGAAGCCAGAGAATTTTCCGTTTAACCAATGAGAGAAATTACGGATATCCAAGATCAAAAGATCAAGCAGATTCTGCTTAAATTTAAAAGTGACAACTGTGGATATCGAGATTGCTAGGGATCGGGATTGGTATCCAATACGAAAGTTCCCAGCTCTGGTTACCCTTTCATCAGTATGTTAATAATATATGTGGACATGGCTGTAATAAGTTAAATCATATCGAAAATCAATTGTTTTAGAATAGTCTAGACATTATTATCGAGCTTTCCTACTGCTCACACGTTCATTATATAACAAGGTTTTAATAAACATTCCAGAAATTCTAATAATGTAAATACGTAAATAAATACTGTAACAATATTGAAATGTTTATAGTATAATACAGTGAAGCTCTTTGAAACTGTTCCTCCATATGCATGGCTATTTATTTATTTTCGCAAATACTAAGATTTACGTAAGATAGTATATAACCTATTGAAATGGTCAAGACGACATTTGATAAATTCTTTCGATGGATCCTTTAGAGTTTCACTTTGTTGAAACTTTGTTTGTGGAATAAAGGGTTATATATGAAGAAAACAGTGCTTCCAAGAGGATTAAACTTTTGATAGTTGAGTGGTCCACTTTTTAGATAAACAAATAGTCAATTTATAGTTGCTATACTTTAAAAAACAATACAAGGATTTAAAGGATTTAAATCTTTCGTGCAATTTACTTTGAAGTGTTTAATTTCTATATTGTTTGTTTGTAACGATTAATTAGTTGCCTGCTTTTCCTTTTTATGCTTTTACAATGTTTGTAAATAATATGATTTCGTGAGTCGTGACCGAACATAGTCAAGGATATTGAATTGGAATATTTTTTAAGAACAAGGTTGAATAAAGTAAACTAATATATTTCAAACCTGCAATAAAATGCAGGTATAGTAAAAATAAATGACAATGTATAAATGTAGTTGAATATTTAAATGTATCACTAGTTGGAGTGATTAAGCATCTGAGGGTTTGATGGAATAGTTTAAAACATTTGTAAATACTTCTGAAAATATAAACCCGGTTGTTTAAGTGGAATTTACTATGGATTGCAAAGTTATTTATGGATTTGATCTTTCACTTAGTAAACGTTTCACTGTTTGTTCTTGTCTTTTGTCGGAGAGTAGAGATAAATTGAACGGAAACATGCTTTGGTTTAGAGTTTCTCCGAGATGGGTTCTGGTAAAGACGACTTATGGGAGGAAGGGGATGGGGGTAGAAATTGGATTTATGATCAACAAAATTCTTGTTTTTCAATTAATTATTTTTAATTCTGATTTCTCTTTAAAATTGATTTGGGCATTTCTGCTGCAGGAAAACAGGGCAGGAATAACCAGACTTAATACTTTTTTTAAACCAATGTTATCTTTTATCTTAGGCAATAAAATGAATATTTTACAATAAAAAAGCACCAAGAAAATGTTTGTTGAATATTCTAATTCTTGACCAAATCCCCCTTAAAAAAAATGATAACGTGGATATATTTGTAAGATAATTTTCTAAACATCAAAAAGTATTAGAAAAAAATATAAAGTGGAAAGAAAAGTAATCAAAATAAAAATAAATTATTTTCGAAGTATTTTCAAATAAAAAGACAAGTTTTCCAACAACTGTTTTTACTGAAGTTGAATAAAAGGAAGAAGGCCGAATAATATTTTTATTGAGTCTGTAGATCGAACATGAAATAATTGGTAAACAAATATCTAGTTGTGCAATGAATTGTAATATTAAAGGGACAAATATCTAGTTATGCAATGAATTGTAATATTGAAGGGACAATTTCCTGAGACATTGCAGCCACGCAGTGGTAGAACTTGGTGGTGCTGCTGCTGATCCCTTTGATATTGAACTGGGCCTCGGCCTGGGCGAACCAAACTTCCGCAGATTCAGGCCAAAAGGGGGGAAGCTTGAGGGCAACAGCTCCGACACTGGGCAGCGCTTCACCAGATTGGGTAGCCATAACACTTGGCAATCACACCCAAAAAATTAATATTTCACCGTTTCTAATCCTACTTAAGGAGTGGACTGTGGAAAAAACAGGGAGTCCGGCTCACTTCAGAAAAGAGTGCGGCGAAAAAAAATCTATTTATAACGAGAAAAATAACGTACGGAGTTGTATCACGTCGGGGTCACCAGATTTAGCGACGGCTAAATAAAAAGACGAAAGTCAAAAAACAACTAATATATTTTTACATGAAAATAGAACAAAGTAAAGTGAATCTAAAAATGGCGACTTTTTATATATCACATGAGTTTAGATCAGGTAGATGCTTGCAGACATTATGGCGGAGAGTACGACGACTTGTCCGCCACATAGTTATGCAATGAATTGTAATATTAAAGGGAAAAATATCTAGTTATGCAATGAATTGTAATATTAAAGGGACAAATATCTAGTTATGTAATGAATTGTAACATTAAAGGGACAAATATCTAGTTATGCAATGAATTGTAACATTAAAGGGACAAATATCTAGTTATGCTATGAATTGTAACACTAATTGTAACACTAAAGGAACAACCACCTAGTTATGCAATAAATTGTAACATTAAAGGGACAAATATCTAGTTATAAAATGAATGGTAACACTAATTGTAACACTAAAGGAACAACCACCTAGTTATGCAAGAAATTGTAACATTAAAGGGACAAATATCTAGTTGTGCAATGAATTGTAATATTAAAGGGACAAATATCTAGTTATGCAATGAATTGTAATAGTAAAGGGACAAATATCTAGTTATGCAATGAATTGTAATAGTAAAGGGACAAATATCTAGTTATGCAATGAATTGTAATATTAAAGGGACAAATATCTAGTTATGCAATGAATTGTAATATTAAAGGGACAAATATCTAGCTAAGCAATGAATTGTAACATTAAAGGGACAAATACCTAGTTATGCAATGAACTGTAACATTAAAGGGACAAATATCTAGTTGTGCAATGAATTGTAATATTAATGGGACAATATTAAAGTGACAAATATCTAGTTATGCAATGAATTGTAATATTAAAGGGAAAAATATCTAGTTATGCAATGAATTGTAATATTAAAGGGACAAATATCTAGTTATGCAATGAATTGTAACATTAAAGGGACAACTATCTAGCTATGCAATGAATTGTAATATTAAAGGGAAACATATATAGTTATGCAATGAATTGAAGTGCAGAGTTCTGAGGTGGCAATATTTTTACATATTTTAAGAGTAATTTGTTATTTTGAGTACTTAAATTACTCACTCTCAATGCTAAATCCTTTAAACAAAAGTGCAGGTGGCTCCGCCCCCCTGTACCCCCCCCCCCTCTACTCGCAAGTTTTGATCGGTGCCCCCCACATGATGATGTATGCAGAGTCCATTAGCGCCTCATCCAATCACGGTTCAGTCATGTGTTTGTTGTCTATTCTGAACCAATAGAAATAGTATGGCGGTAACATCTATCTTTCTATCTATCTCATTATCCAATTAAAGTTATGAATCCTTCAATCGGTGCTAACAGTAAATGGAAAAATTTACTTCTACTGAAACTTTAGTGATTACAGTTTTTTTTGAGTTTCAAAGGGCTGGCCGGATCCGCACCTGATGAAGACGACTTTTTATTAATAATGCTTTATCAAACAACAAGATACAAGTTAACAAAGAACAGCTTATAGCTTATAATTGACTATTTCTCTTTGTTTACTTGTTTTTGATGTCTCTGCTCTCCTCTGCTGTTTTAAAGCTTGGTATAAATCAAAATTGGAATAGAACGTCGTCTTCATTATATTGAAACATAGACAACGACCGTATACATTATATACTTTAGAATATGGGAATTAATAGATCTAACATTTTGCAATTCGTAGCTTGACATTTTCTAGAAACTGCAACAATTTATGCTCTACAAACTTGAAAACTGGAAATCAATTTGTTTCTATTTTTGAAGGTTATCTCAGTTATTAATTCTATATTTAAACTTTAAAATAACAGTTTGCATTGACTCAAATTTAAACTTTCAAAATAGCTGGAAATCTAGCATGCTGTTAAACTCTGTATATTTGAGTAAAGTATTCATGAAAATAACTGATTTTATCAAGAAATCAAGAAACTAAAATTAACCATGCCCTCAAGTAATGACAAAAATAAGTTTCTAAAAACACGGTCAAGGTAATTAGGCAAGGAAATCTAATTGCTGTTGCATATACTCTCCATTCATAATTGAAACCAGTTCTCTCTGGGCGGTGTTTGTAAACAAGTAAACAGTGTGCTTCTAGTATCCGAGGAGGATAAAAGCATTTATTTTTGATAATTTTGAAAATTTTGATAATTCACATAAAAGTTTCCAAAATATTTTATTGATTTTATGTGAAAGAGGGATCCCATGCCAAGCTATGAGTGTGACATCCGTCTTGTGTTTATTTCTAAAAGTTGTTAGTTCATCTTCGAAAAATACTAACAATCCAGCACTAGTTTATATTAAATATAATGTATACAATAAATATGTAACTTTCCTTTTCCTTTTTCTTTCCTTTCCTTTCCCATTGCTTTTAATTTTATATATTTTTTGAATTGGTGGGGAAATATTCTCACAACCTCTTTTTTTGGAGGTTTTAAAATATCTTCTCCTAAAACACTTAATTTTGTGTTTTTTTGTTATATTTCACAAATAAATAATTGCTTACTTATTTCTTACTGAAAATGCGTACACCTCTGAAATAACTATCTTTACATTTAGGGTTGTTAATTGTTTTTGAAAACGATCGTTAAACGATCGTTAAAGATCGTTTTTTGTTTCGTTTTCAGAAACGATCGTTTCGTTTTCGGAAAAAAACGATCGTTTTTAAAAACGACCCACTCGTTTTAAACTTTTAGAAGACGAATAGCGATCGTTTTTAAAACGATCGTTTTTATTAAAACGATTTGCGACCGTTTTTTATACGATTGTTTTTAAAAAAACGATCGTTTTTGAAAAAATATTTTATTGACAATTATGTTAACGATCCTTAACGAAAGGTCGTCGTTAACGATCGTTAACGAAGGGTTGTCGTTAACGATCGTTAACGAAACAACGAACTTTATCAAAATGGTCATTTTGAAAAAAAAATTACATGCAACTTTATTGGATGTCGTCTTACATGAAGTTTAACAGTTGTGGGGGAGTTAAAACTCCTTGATATTTTCTTAAAAACTACTCAATGATAAGTACAGATGCCCTTCAGGTCGGTTTCCTTTCTTTGTTAGCGATCGTTAACGAAGGGGTCGTCGTTAACGATCGTTAATTAAGGGTTGTCGTTAACGAAGGGTCGTCGTTAACGATCGTTAACGAAACGACGAATTTTGTAAAAACGATAGTTTTGAAAAACGATCGTTTTTAAAAACGAGCGTTTTGAAAAACGATCGTTTTGAAATTGACCATTTTTAAAAAACGAACTTTTTAAAAAAACGATCGTTTTTAAAAACGATCGTTTCGTTTTCGATTTTTCGACGTCGTTTTCATAACGAAACGATCGTTTTTCTGAAAAATGAAAACGTTAACATCCCTATTTACATTATAATTCTTTGCACAGGGTCTCAAAATAAAGTGGAATAAAAAAAAGAATACGTAGAGCTTAACACTATTCAAGCCAAGGTTTATTAATAAGTATATTTACTCTGGATCCGCTCCAATGTATGGAAAATGTCGTCTTCTAAAAATAGATATATAAAATCCGCATATAGCGTCACTGTTTATAGAGACAAGCGTGTCGTCATTTGCGAATTATTACTGTTTAAGCTAAGGAGACATCATTTTCCGTACATTGGAGAGCATCCAGAGTAACAAACCTTATTAAAGAACCTTGATTCAAACTGACGTCATCTCGATGTCCAAAATTCCCTTGGTTGAGGGTAGTCCTTTATCTCATACTTCTTTAATTAATTTTTAAAAAAAATGAAAATTGGCAAAACTTTAAAAATCTTTGACACGGATTAAGTTAGAGTAAAGATAAAATAAGGCATTAAGACAGTAATCAGGTCTCAGGCAGTTAGTTACAAAACCCCTTTTTTGTCAGATAGAGAGGTCAACAAATTATAGAGTGTCAGACCACACTTTTGGAGTTAATATGTCTGAAAAACTTTAAGACACTTCAACCCCATGCTCAGTAAGATTAATATCATGATATTAAGTGTGTTTTAAACTTTTGTGCATGAATAAACTTTTCTACGTGATTAGGATGGAAGAGAAAAAATTTTCTCGGCCTCGTATGTCTTTTGTCTTAAATAATAAAAAAGTTTATAAAGATTTGTATATATTAAAATAAAATGAAAAATTACTCACCGACGTGGATTTCTTTGGTCCTGTAGGTTTGTCTTCAGGTACTTCCTTCTTCACCTAAACACAATTGAAGATTTGATTGTACGAAAACCATTCAAATTTAAATACAGGGTGTCCCACGAAACATGACAGTTGATAAATAGTTTTGAATGTCGTCTTTCATATTCTGTAGTATGATATTAAAGGCTTTTTGCTGTCTATTTCGGTAAAAAAATCTTTTGCTCAAATATACTTTTCTTTGAAATCAATTTTACTATAATATGACTCCCATACACTATTTTTTTTATTGTCTTTGGTATCAAACAACTTAACAAATTATGAAAGAAGACATTCTAAACTGTTCACCAACTGTCATGTTTCGTAGGACACCCTGTAGATAATGTTTTCTGTAAGCTTATATTATTTTCAACATATTCTCTTCCGCGAAACCTGGGTTTCAACCCCGGTTTATATAAAAATTAAACAATTTTGTGGATATCAACATTTTTTTATGAAATATATTTTTATTTAGTTTATTTCGCTATTTTTGTCGAATCTCTTAAATCAAAATCTATAAAATGTTAAGACCCAAAAAAGGAAACTCGAGAGTTTCGTTCTACGATACTCTTTTAAATTTCGGGCTCTGGGGGCGGAAACGTTATGTATGTGTGTCTGTACCAAAAGAGTGTGTAAGTAATACCAAACCGAAGGCGTGTACTGCAGGTACGAATATACAGTACATCAGAATCTCGGTATTTGTACAGTTTCGGAGAGTAATGTTTATTGTTAATTATTTACTTAAAGATAAGTTTAATATACATGTAATATATTATTTAAATATTTAGGTCAACACTATAAGCCAAATTTTCATGCAAAGAACTTAATTTGATTAAAGTTTACAATAAACTACTCGTCATTCAAGCTTGATTATAATTGACAACATTGTTCTGCAATTTCCTTGACTGTTATAGTCATATTGTGTGTCTGCACCAAAAGAGTGTGCGTGTGTAATAACAAACTCGTCTGCAAAGCGTCATTTCCCTTCTCTGTATTCTTATTCCCTGGAAACTGCGGAGTTTCCTTTTATGGGGTGTAAACATTTGCGTAGATTTTAATTTAAGAAATCAGAAAACAAATAGAGAATGTAAAGAATTCACATGAAATAATATTTATTGACAAAAATATTGATATCCGCAGAACTGCCTGATCCCATTCATGAAACCGGGTTCCTGATCCTGAGCTCGGTTTCATTACGATACTTAAGTTTTGGGTTCTGACGATATGTCAAAACGGGTTAGTACACTACAGAAACCAATTCGCCCTTCTGCGGAGGTTAACGTGTAGGAAGTAGCAGTGGCCTACTTGTTTCTTATCAAGCTAGGAAAATAGGAGAGAGTACAACAGTTTAAAAGTTGTCAAGTTAGATATTCTCTAATTTTTTTAAGGTTACCTTCCATAGACATGCCTTTGGAAAAGTGTTCCTTAGACGACACCTTTGGGAAAATACTGTCCTAAAAGTGTCAATTGAGAAAATACCATTAGGAAAGTTTCAATGGGGAAAGTTTTTTGGAAAATATAATACTTTGGAATAAAAATACCACTGATGAAATTGCATTTCCGAAAGTTTTCTTCGAGAACATTTCTGATGGAAAGTGACCCTTTTCCCTTAAGAAAGTGCAAAGGGCCAATAGAGATGTTACCTTTACGAAAGCATCAATGGGAAAAGTATATAAGGTGCTATTGAACAAGAATAAAGGGAAAGGAAATGGCACTGGTCTGGCATGAGAAAGCCAGTCGCAATGCTTTGCAGACGGGTTCCTTATCACAGACGCACACTCTTTTGGTACAGACATACACACACGACTACAGTCAAGGAAGGTGCAGAACAATGTCGTCAATTATAATTAATCTTGAATAACTCGAGTAAACTTTAATCAAATTATATTCTTTGCAAGAAAATGTCACTTACTGTGTTGACTTAAATATACAAAAAATATATTACATGTTTATTTAACTTATTTAATTTAATTTATTTATTGTATATTTTTAAGTAAACAATTAACAATAAACAAATACACTTTCCTAGACTGTACAAATACCAAGATTCTTCTGTACTGTAAACTTCGACAGTACAACTATTTGGTTCCTTATTACACACGCACACTCTTTTAGTATACAGACACACACACATGACGTTTCCGCCATCTGGTGTCACTTGGGAAAGAGTCAATGTAGAAAATGTCTTTTAAAAGTGCCACTTGGGAAAGTGAATTTGTGACAGTGCAATTCAAGAAAGTTCCTGTGGTAAAATGTCACTTTTTAAAGTGCCTTTGGTAAATTTCCAAACATCACTTAAGATATTTACCGTTGGTGCATCATCTACAAGTGCTGTGATGATGTGCTGTCCCTTACTCAGTACATGGTCACTAGTTCGGAACTCCTCAACAGATGTCTCTTTACTTGGTCCAGAGCCCATAGTTTGTTATAAAGATGTTCCAGGGCTCACTAATAAGAAGATTCACTTGAATGATCTAGGGCCCAAACTCACAAATTATGTGAATTACATTCAGCATAAACTTATTCTCACGAAATATTGTTTTTGAACTGCAGCCTAGTCCCTGGCTAAATTATGAGGCCCATTGTGTGGCCTTCTTTATTTTGTCGAGGCCCTTGGGTTGATTTTTAAAATATTTTTCCAACTCCTGAAAATTGTATGGACCAACTGTTCTAGGATAACACAGGGTCCACGCAGTACACTTTCTACATTTTAAACAGTCTGAAAAATACTTTTTCCAAAAAAATTCTGTTATTTTTTTTAAGTTCTACAAAGATCTTGATTACTCACCTAAAACCATGCATGTTTTTCATCCTTATATGTTTGCAACCTGATGGTGTAAACCATTCGTATTTCAAATTTTGACAAATTAATCTATCCGGGTCGAAATATCAAAAGTTTGCGAACTCAGGATGCAAAAATATCAAAAGTTTGCAAATTCAGGATGTAAAAATATCAAAAGTTTGCGAATTCAGGATGCAAAAATATCAAAAGTTTGCGAATTCTGGATCTATGCAAAAATAAAAACATTTTACAATTTCACTGTGAATTAAAAGTCTCAAGTTTTCAAGCAAAAATCGATGAGAATTTTGCCAATGGTTTCTTAAAAACAACAAGTGTTGTATAGTGCTAAATGTGAATGTAAAGTGCTACATAAAAGCATAAGTGAGTAAGAGCGGTAAAATCAAAGCATAAGGCGTTGACACACTTGCGGATTATCAGTTTCTAGTTTAAATAAATTCATCCAAAATATGATTTATTATTGTTCAGGAAAAGGATGAGGGAATGCATTTCTTTAAAGGGACTGTTAGTGTCCATTAGCGCCTGATCCAATCAGAGTTCAGTCATGTGTTTGTTGTCTATTCTGAACCAATGGTATGGCGGTAACATCTATCTTTCTATCTAGCTCATTATCCAATTAGAGATTGAATCCCTATATCGGCGATATCAGTAAATGGAAAAACTTACTTCTATAGAAACAATGGTGAACTAAACCTTTTTAAGTGTTAATTGAGAATAGAGAGCTCTGTGTTCAATTCTCTTAAAAACCACTTTAATTTCTGAAATACACGTTGCGTGCAGTGAGAATTCAACACAGCTGATCAAAATTTGACATTAAAATTCAAAAGAAAATATTTAATATCAGGGTACCGTTGTGAATCAAGCAAGGATTTATTATTGACCAGGCGGACACTGCATTAACTATTACGTATTAAATGGGGGTATATAGTGTAAGAAAGGCAAATATCACGCACCCCTGACCCTTTAGTAAAAGTAAATTCAACCTAAAGTCTGACCGTGTCAACCTTGTTGCACCGGCTAGCCCTATTGAATGTCTGCTTTATTCACCCAATGTCCGTGCGATACAGTACAAACTGGGACCAGAAAGGTTGACCCGGCTCGGAAATTCAAATGTACTAAGGCTACCCGTGGTGTTTAGAAAGAACAATTTTGAAATTTGTCAAACGTATCATATTTTTGTGGTACCCTTTTTAACTCCAAAAACCTTAAAAAGTCTTTAAAACGATCGAAGCTAAATTATTTTCAGCCAGCGTGCTTCTACTCTAGTATACTGCAGGTAGAATAAAAGAACCTAATTGTGTCCATGTCACAATTATATCACTCCATACAATTATTTTATTGATCTAAATATGCATCTGTCAGATTATTTTTAACAATTTGATTAACCCTAAATAGACTGGTTGTTTTTCCCTAGAAACACGTCACAATATTTGTGAAACAACAAATATTTTTATTCATTCATTACGGAATGCACACAGCTCAGGTCGTACCTTATAAATTGATTGGTTTAGTTCAAACTTTAAAAATTAACATATATATTTAGTTTTAACGCTTATAATGCACCAATTGATTGTTTCCGTTTTTTTGCCCTTTTAGCCATAGTGCTTTTCTCTTTCTGAACCATTAAAGTTTAAAGAGTTAAAATGAACTCCAACTCATCAAAGCTCTTAACCATTTTTTATGCAAAATTAAACATAAAAAGTGATCCAATGCAAACATGTTGAAAAATATAATTTGAAATATGGTAAAGTTTTTATATTTTATTGACATAAAATAATGCGTAATAGGTATAAATTCATCAAGCACTCCTTCACAATCAGCCCTAAATTAATCAGTATAAATACATTTTTAATGCAGAGTAATTTTTTTTATTGAGACTTTCCATTCGGAGAAAGTTAAATGCTTTTTATCGTAATTCAAATATTTAAAATGCATCATGGTCATTTTCAGGCTTATCATAGATCAAACAGGCTTATCATAGATCAAAAAGCTTTATCATACAAGTCAGCCCTTGGTGTATTTAGCTTATTGGGACAAAATAAAAAGTATACTGTTAAGCTTTTAATGCTGGTTACAATTTTAGCTTGTTAAATCACAATTTTTCTTCTTTTTCCAATAAAAACAAATTTTCGTGGATTTTCATATATTTCCTGACAATGTCTTTTGATCTTGACTAACAACCTTCCAGCTGGATCATGTGAGAGCCAAATTTGTATACATATTACACATATATTTTTTTTTGTTTGTTTGTATCCAATAAACGTCAACACAGCTTAACCGATCGGGCATTATTATAAAACCTTAAATGACCCCAACAAGGTTTATGTTTGGTTGAAATTTATAAGTATAATCGTCTCCTAAAAAACTTTGAAAATTCAAACCAATGAGAACAGGCAAAACTGGCCAATCTGGAAAATATATCTACCAATACAATGAAAACGACATTCTGTTGCAGTTTTGCGTAATATTCAGCTCTGGTAAACAGGGAGAAGTTGGGAACTATAAAAAAAGATATTATTAAAATATTATTGTTCTATGCCCGTGGGGAAAAATATTCAGATTTTTGAGAAAAAAATTTCGATTTTTGGAGAAAAAATGTCGAATTTTTTTGCCTATTGAACTTTTCGGGCAATCATGGGTTCCCTCAAAAAATGTCAGCCATTTGGCCAGCTATATTGCAAACATACAAACAAATATAGAAATGAGCGCAGAGCTTTATTATATAGCTAGGATTAATTATGGTCAAATGGGAGCGAAAAAGCATAAAAGCTTTGCTACCTTAAACTCTATTATTATATAGGCTTGAGTTGACATGTGCACAGGGCCCTCCAACCCAGCTTAGCTCTACAGGCTTGCTTGGTACACGCACATAGTTCGTTCAACGTTGTCTTTTCAGCAGCGTCCAGAAATCCCAGGAGATTTGCATCACTGGAATAAAATCAAAAAAGTTGTTTCCAAGTGTTTACAGAAGAAAAGAGCTGTTTTAACATCAATTACAATTCACAATTGGAATTGGGAGAATAAATGATTTCTGAAAATTTACAACAATTAAAACAATTCCCAAATTTTAAGATTTTGATTTAACGAACATTTAAAATCTAAACTTAATTGCAGTGATACGCATAAAAAAATGAAAAAATCAAGATAAAAAGTTGAGAATAAATGAGAATTTTTAGGGTGCAAGATTAAAAATGCTAAAATTTCGTTGTAAAATTTTGTCGTAATGAAAAAATAATTTTACAATTTTACAGCCCTGTAAACTCTGCACAATTCCACGCAATTAGAGTTGCGCGCACTTCTGCACAGTTGCGATCAATTCCGCGCAATCGGATATCCGATTGGAAACCCTATTAGCAACTGTATACTACCAACTTTATTAAGGACAAATTGAATATACCTACCACAAAATTGCCTCCTTTACTTTGCCGTCATATTCGTCGTCGTTGCAGTTCTTAACAGGTGGGAAGGGTTTGGGTTGCTTGTTACAGAAACACAGGAATGGGAATGCAGGATTTAGCTCATGGCAGGCGTCCGGAGCAAGGTCTGGAGATCTGCAGACAGCATCACAATAATCTTTGAATCCGTCCACCAGCTTTTGACGGCGCATTTTAGGAATTCCACAACAGTTTCCATTCTCTATACTTCTAAAATAATACTTAGCTTCAATCAAGGAATATCTTACTCCAACCTATCCAGATTATATAGGCCTCTGTTAGGGGTGTATAAGGGGAATACGGTTGCTTATATATACCACAGAATCAGTAAAATCATTGGTTTTAAAGGGACTGTACACATAATTTTAAGCGAATGTCTATGCAAAGATAGCAATGCCCGTTTTACAAAGGTACCCTTGGCACCTCAACTGATCAAAAATTATAAAAATAATGTAATTTTTTTTTTTTGACTTGGATAGTAATTACTTCTGTGAATTTTTCCCTTATTTCCTATAAGGAAGAAATGTTCAAGTAGATTTAAAATAAAAATAAAAAAATAAACGTTTTAAATAAACAAAAAAATTGATATCTAGCTTTTAAGCTTTTAAGGCTACCATTGTAAATCGGGCATTGGCATCTTTGCATGGAGGGTAACATGAAATTACGCTTATGTCCTTCAGTCCCTTTAAGGAGTTTTTAGTCCCCAACAGGTCCCGGTTGGGGGCTGATTCCCCCCTGGAAATTCCTTACCTTGCTATTTTAAATTTGCAATGCTTTCAGGGTTACTCAAAAAGGTTTAATTTTAAGGACAACACAGTGCAGAAACAAAAGAATGTACCAAAGACCAAAGAATGATAAGACTGCATATCTCTTTGAGATCTATCTCCTTTGAGATCTAATTAATATTAAAAAAAGCAAAAATCTTCGAAAACAACTTTGTATTAAAAACCAGGAGAAGAGTCAAAGCTTAAACTTTTGAAAAAATCTAATTGAAAATGGACAAAAATAAACCTTGTAATTTAAAATTTAGACTTATTTCCAATCATAATACACAAATTACTCACTGAAAATGCGCTTCTTTGAATTGAGGCACACAGTTTTCATTACAATCACAACTATCTGGGCAGGTTTCGGTTTCACATTCTGGTTCACAGTTATCACAAACCGGGTCACATCGTTCCGATCCACAATCTGAGTCTGGCACACATTCTTCACATTGTGGGGAACATCTAGGTGTACCACACTCCGGGGAGCACCCGGAGCATTCTGGAGAGCAGCGGTATGTTCCACATTCATCAGCGCATCCTTCACATTTGGCGGGACATTTGTATGTACCACAATCCCCACTGCCATTGCTGCACATGAAAAATGGAAAAATTCGATTTGATTGTGGTTGTAATATGATGATAATGATAATTATGAAAATTTCATTTTTGAGTAACTTTAAATCGAATTCAGGGTTCAGGATAATCTATCAAGAAGAGTAAAAATTTGTATTTAAAATACGGGCATTCATCTTATTACCCCTATCTGTATGGTTTTTTAGCATAATTTAAACCCTTAACGTTCAAATCTTAAATATAGGAACGAAATTTCCTAAAAATGATTTACCAATGCACAGGACTTGCTTTTTTCAAACTGTCTTTTCTCTTCCATGTACATTACATCAAATTCACAAGGGAACAGGGCCAATAATATCTTACCGGAATAAGGTTAATTGTCCCAGAAGCACATACTGTTTTTTTTTTAACCCTGAAGGGTGAAGGGGGGGTCTGAATCTATGTATAGCTCCATTAGAAAAAGGCCCATACAGTAATTGTTATAGAATTGCATTACATGTTCATATCCCAATTTTTCAAGGCCAGCTCATTGAAAAAAAAATTAAAACGCCAACTTTAGTAGTTTGGGTGCTAGAGAGAAAAAGAATGTCAAAAAAAGCCGGAACATTTTTTGTTTTGTTTTTGACAACTGTATAATATTTGACACATGTGTCCACATCTATTTTTAGGGGCTTTTCAAATATGGAGTTTTTAGATCTGTAAACTTTAAATCACAAAAAAGTTATGGGCTAATTTAGATTTTTTTAAATGGACCGGCCTTTTTACCCGCCTTTTTACTGACCTTTTTACTCACCTTTTTACCCGCCGTTTTACCCACCTTTTTACTCACCTTTTTACCGGCCAATTTTTACCAGCCATTTTACCGGCCTTTTTACCTGCCATTTTACCCACCTTTTTACCAGCCATTTTACCGGCCTTTTTACCGGCCATTTTACCCACCTTTTTACTGACCTCTTTACCCACCTTTTTACCCGCCTTTTTACTCACCTTTGTACCGGCCAATTTTTACCAGCCATTTTAACGGTCTTTTTACCTGCCATTTTACCCACCTTTTTACCAGCCATTTTACCGGCCGTTTTACCGGCCATTTTACCCGCCTTTTTACTCACCTTTTTACCGGCCTTTTTACCCACCTTTTCATCGGCCTTTTTACCACTAACCATATGCATTAAAAAATGAAAAATGAAAACAAAAATAACTTTAAATTACTATCAATTGAAGGGACAGACCGGCTATGTAAGGTAGTTAAACTGAGTATGCAGTGTTGTGGACAAATTCTTAAGGATTAATTTGAGACATATAAAACTTTTAAAAGATCTGTAAATCCTGAGTTTGAGCGCAAAGTCGACGTTCAAAATCGTACTTTTGGGTGGATACGTTTTCATTATTGTTTTTTTTATTATTAAATAACGACGACAACAAATGTAAACAAAATTCTACAGTAAACTAATTAGTTGTTTAGGAACAGGTTGAGAAAAAAAAATTAATCTTATCATCGAAAATAAGTAATCTTGTTCAATTATTAGTTTCTATTTTCTTATTCTTCTAGTTTCTCGTTATCCACATAGATTTTTTGTAGATTTTCTGGAACATTTATTGAAAAGACGACATTTGAAGATGTTGTAGAAATTCATAAAAAATAAGAAATTCAATATAATGATGAAAACGAAATAATTGATTCTAGCATTGATTTGACAAATTTCTTTTGAGAAATATGTTCCTAAACATCTAATTAGTTTACTGTATAATTTTTACGTTATTTTTCGTCGTCGTTATTTGATAATTTAAAAAAACAGATTCTGAAAATGTATCCACCCAAATTCATGATTTTGAACGTCAACTATGCACTCAAACTCATTAATTATACATCGTGGAAAAGTTTCAACGGTCTCAAATGAATCTTAAAGAATTTGTCCACAACACTGCATACTCAGTTTAACTAACTTACATAGCCGGTCTGTCCCTTTAAAAGTAAAAGTTTCAATGTAATGGTGTCAAAAATGAGTGTTTAGGGTTAACTTAGGGAGTGCTATTTCAGAAAGAATTTAAACTCTGATTATATTTTTAACAAAATTCCTTGCCTCTGAAGAAAAAATTAAATTAAAACTTACATTTCTGAATCTGTATAACTAGAGGCAGAAGGTGTTAAAGGTCTTGAAGGTCTTAAAGGTCTTGGTGGGGGTTTTTTATTCCCGTGTCCTGAGTACTGATCTCCTACACTCGTATATCTAGAAATTATCTTAGTAACTAGCCGAAGTGTCTTGATCAGACATATTTCTAAAGGGACAGACTGGCCTCAACACTGCAAACTCAGTTTAAACACCTTACATAGCCGGTCTGTCCATTTAAAGGATACCATTGATAACCTGACATGCATCACGCAATAAACTTAAAATTATGTTTGCAGAAATAGACAATCAAGTTGTTGAATAAAAAAACATTTCTTTTTAGTAAAACAAAGTATCATAAGGCATAATATGTATGGAGTTGAATTCAGATTCAGCAAGCACTAGAATGTTGTGAAGAAGTAATACATAATTCTTCAGCCCCCCCCCCCCCACAAAAAAAATATTTAAAAGCTGTTTTGTTAAAGTTTTTTCTTACTTTTAAGTAAGCTTGCAATAAAAATCAATGCCAGTTATAAAATGTACTTCGGGAGGCAAACATAATAAAGATCCTGAAATACCTGTTAACTTCAGGAATCTGGGAATGTAAAACAGAATCCAGACCTTTAATCCACAGTGCACAAACCTTATCATTACAAAAAAAAACTTATATTCAAAAATGTCTCCACAAAAAGTAATTAGTCTCTAATTCAGCATTTAATCAAGATGGATAAAAACTTACCATGAACGCTGACATGAGTCGCAAAAATGCAGATGACATTTTTCTAAAATATATCAATGAAAATCTCAAAATGGACCTGCGTTTAATTACAGAAACTAACTTAAAATGTAACTATGGCAAGTAGATGAACTACGTAAAGGAAATTAACCCATTTCTCTTAACCTAAGACCATCACTAAAAAGAATTTAAATATTCAAGATTCAATCTGAGTCTGCATTGAATCTCGGTTATTAAATGACTGACATAAAATTGTTGAAGTATAAAACACAGATTCCGTACTGCACCGTATGAGGGAGGGGTACAGGCGCGCCTCAAGCCCCGCAAAAATGACTTCCAAGCCTCCAGAATTGCAAAATGACCTCCAGGCCACGCAAAACGTCTCCTTGCCTCTCGCTATACGTCACTGAACCTCCGCCATTTTGTCTCCACGCCCCGCATTTTGATCTACCCTTGCTGTTTTTAGTTTTTGTTTACCTTTTATGGCTTAACCAACCAAAATTCAAAATATATCTCTTCATAGTAGACTCCGCAATAGTTTAAAGAATTGTTCAATCAACAAATTTAAAATATTAATTCATTCGATTGATCCTAAGTTGTTTTTTGTAAAAAGTTTACATAAAGCTAGTATATGCATAAAAGACGACCATTATAAACGACTTTAATATCTTTGAAGACATTATGATTTGAAGATTATATTGCGAGTCCTTAGCATTAAATTTAATCATAAAAATGCAAATTAATTCTCACACCAAAAGAAATCAAATTTTGAAGTAAATTAAACTTATTAAAACTTAAGTACAGGACACGACGCTGCCCTGTCCTGTTAGTATAGCATGTTATAAATATTTAGACTATATAAAAAAAAATTCCAACTTAAAAAAGATAGTTCTTCAAATTTTCTAATGCATACAATAAAAGCACAAATTCAAGGATTTCACAAAATCTACTTTGTTTTCTGAATTGACACTGATATCGTTTAATTCTTACATGAAACCCCTGTGAAATAATATAAAATTTGTCTTTATTTATACAAAACTGCAATAGTTCTTCACAATTTAAGGATTTTGTGAAATTTATAAAAACAAAAATAAAACCTTTAATGTCAATTCAAATGGAATTTTTAATACAAATTGTTAATGTATCATTATAAACTATTTTATCATATTGAGATTTTTCGAAAAAAGATTTTGGTGGATGTTAAAGCCAAATATTTTTTTTGGAGACCAAAATGCGGGAAGTGGAGACAGAATGGTGGAGTCACGGAACAGTTTCACGGGGCCTGGAGGTCAATATGTAAATCTGGAGGCTTGGAGGTCATTTTTGCGGGGCTCATGACGCCTCTGCACCCTCTCCCTTACCGTACTGCGTTAAAATGTAAACAATCTTATATTGTAAACAAAAGCCCGGTTTCTAAAAGATTTCTAAAGCCCCCAACTAAACTTTAGAGTATGTTGGTTTTTCTACCCTAGGTACTTCCAAACTTACGCTAAAGTAGAATAATCCATGGATTTTTAAAAACAATAAATGTTTATAGGTCGTCGTTGCTTATTGGGCTCAAAATAAAATAATCAGTGTAAAAACAACAACAAAAAATCCGTTTTTCTTAATTCTATTTTTGTCTAATATAGCTGGGGGGAAGGAGGTTGCCCTTAGAGCTGAGATAGAGGAGTGTGATACATGTCGATTATCCAACTTTTCAAAGCCTGCAAATTTAAAACATTAGAACTCTAACTTTTATGGTTGTGGTGTTAAAGAGGTTTTAAAAAAAGTACATTGGAAAGATGTTTTTTTTCACGTTTGACAAATATTTACATCCATTTTTCAAGAGCTTTTAAAATAAAGACATCTTAGGTATAAATAGTTTTATCAATAAAGAAGTTATTTTTTATTTTTTCGCCCTTACCATCATAAAAAAACATTTAGGAAAATTTTAAGTTAGAGGTATATTTTTTTTCATGAGCAGTCCTTGAAAATTTGGACTAAGGACATGTATCACTCTCCCCTATCTCAGCTCTAAGGGCAAATTCATGGGGGGTGGTACCCCCCCCCCCCCACCTATATTAGACAAAAATAGCCCAAACAGGATAGGGTTTAAGAAAAAAATATTTAAAATAAAGTAAAAAACTTTTTCAAAAAATGATTTCATCGCAATCATATATTCCGTTTTTCTAAACTATGAAATGAAATTTTTAAAAATGATTTCATTCGTTCTGCAAAATCATCTTTCATTTTTCATCTATTTCGTTCATTTTTACACTGAGAAATCATTCGTTCAGTAAAATCGTTCGTTCAATAAAATCGTAAAAAAAACTATTGTTTGTTCTTAAAAATCGGTTCTTCAGTAAAAAATCTTTAGAAATTTTGTTTGTTCAGTAAAAAAACGTTTTTTCACTTTTAAATTTGTTAGAATGATTTTAAATCGTTAGTTTTTTTATTTCTCTGAACAATTCCCTTTTCGTCCATTATTTTTTTTTGTCTCAAACGACACTATAGTTTACAGAAAATTTAGTTTTTTTGCACAATAATGATGTTCATCTCAAGATAACACTACTGTGAATACGCACTTTTGATGGAGAACCCACTCTTCGTTATGCAGTACATAAACATTACAGTACTCTACGTACTGTATACATGTTTGTAAACAAAACATGATCGATTTGTTTCTCAAATCCTTGCTCAAATCAGTGTTTGACTAATCAACCAGTGCTAAATGTTAAGGGACTAGAGTTGAATTTAACGTGTCTTTCTAGAACTGGCGTTTAATTATTCTAATTTCAAGAGTTTATTTTTGTTTAATATATTTTTTTATTAAAATATTAAAATAACAAATTTTTTCAGAAGGTTATATTTAATAAATATGTCGTGTTTTCTTCTGTTCTTTGCAGTGTTACAGGTAAGTTACAATTTCTCTTTTCTTGGTTTTAGTGTCAGCGTATAGCTTCAAGTAACGCTATACATGCAAATATTCGCTATACATGCAAATATTCGATATACACACAAATATTCGCTATACATGCAAATATTTGCTATACATGCAAATATTCGCTATACATGCAAATATTCGATATACACACAAATATTCGATAAACATGCAAATATTCTCTATACATGCAAATATTCGATATACATGCAAATATTGCAATGCATCATTCACAACTTTACCTTTAAGTATAAATTAAATATCAATGTTTTATAATTATAAGTATGGGGATCATATAATGTGTACTCTGTTATAATTCAATCTAGTTTAAATGCTTTGAAATACTTATTTTATGCCAAATTCTGAACATACAGTGTGCCGGACCCATACAACTGGATTAAGCAAACCGGGCTACAGTGTGCCGGACCCATACAACTGGATTAAGCAAACCACTTCAAGAGTCCAATGAATAAGAAACAAATTGTGCATTATGCACTGGCACAGTACAAAGACCGACTTCATAAGTTGATTTTAAGCTACTTCTAAAACCAATACAAATTCAAATACTCATTAAACTGCTCAAATATATTCTTCCTTTAACAATTTCACGGATTTCCACTACAAAATAGACAGAAGTAAAAGGTCAAACGTTGCATATAGTTCATATAGGTAAATTTAATGGCAAATTCAGCTATATGAATAATATACAACGTAATTTGCTATGGGCCTCTATATTTGCTACATATTCTCTACTATTTTTTTGTTCTCATTGTAGGTTTTGACGTGTGTGCATGGAAATAGTCCGGATTCTGTGATTTTCTCCAATCCACCAGAGCTTCTAAGGTTCTAAGTAGAAATTAGTATCACATTTGAATCTTTTATGTCAATTGTCAAGTTTTTAAAGAGATTGCAGAAGTAAACTGAAGTGAGGCATGTGTAATTTACAAGGGTACCCTTGAAATATTTGTCCTGATCAGAGATAAGAGAGTTACAGAGATCGATAATCAGCTAAATATGCGATATTTTCCAAAGCATGTTCTATTGTGTACACGACCAATCAGCAAACATCTGTATTCAGGGATATTTAAGGATCCTTTAGATATGGAACACAAAATCTTCAAAAATAAGACTGAGTTCATAAATGTTATGCATGTTTCATGTTTAAAATTGGAGCATTTTTTTAAAAGTTGTAAAACTTTTAAGATCTAGATATTTATTTATGTATCAAGGTTATTATAGTTTACAAGATTGTTAATATGGATTTAACACATAACTTTCTTGCGATGTTATCATGTACATACAATTATAAATCAATAAGGTCGAAATCTAATTTTTACAGATACATTTTTTTTACGTTTTTTCATGTCTGGATTGCTGGTAAATTTATATTCAAGTATTGATAAAGCAGCAGTTCGAGAGAAAAAACTACATTATATATTAAAGGATAGCATACTTTTATGAAATATGACTGGGAGATACTACAAACACAGTGTGTGTTATCTCTTATTGGAAAATGTAGCATTTTCCAATAATTTGTAGCTTTTGTAAAAGTTACAAAACTTAATCCCTGAATTGGTATTATGTTCAACAAGTGGCCGTGAGATGGCACTCTAAAAACCTATCGCAAAAACGTAGCATGTCGTTACAGCTGGAAAAAATGGATATCTCTGCACTTTGTTTAAATAAACAGCCGTTTAAAAAGCACTGTTATGAATCTGACATACCTCTCATTATCTCTTCAGCCCTTTGAATTATTCAGAACTATGTTCTCTTTGTTTCTTTAATTGTTCAAAAAATCTTAGGACTGGAAAGAGTCTGGAAGGAAACCAGAGAGAAACTCCAGAAGAGTAGGTTTTTTCCTAAATATTTTGAATAGTTTTATTTTGTGAAATAATTCCACAGGGTTACTACCCACCAAGGATGAGACTTTAATGGACGACATAAAACTCCTTTTCAGACTCTGAGGTTGACTTTTGAATGATTTGCCGAAGAAAGAAACTAATTTACAGCTGTAGGGATTCAACAATTTCTAAATGACTGACTCAACTCTGTACACACGGGCAGCCGTAGTACATTTGAATTTCCGAGTCGGGTCAACCTTTCCGGTCCCAGTTTGTACTGTACCCAGCTCTGTGGACAGGACTAGCCGGTGCAACAAGGTCGACGCGGTCAGGCTGTATGCTTCATATAGGTTGAATTTACTTTTACCAAAGGGGCAGATTTACGTGTACAGTCGTCTTTGAAGTCTCATCCTTTTTGGTTAATCTTTTATATAACTTTAAAGTAAATCTTCCCAGGCAGAGTTTGATTTGATGAATAATCATGGTTGAGCTATTTTCAGACTCGAGATGTTAAATTAGCAGTTTAACGATCTGTACTTTGTTTAACTACATTTAGTTTGATCAATTCCTAATCCCGAAATAGAACTACTGAATTTTCTAGTCGAGCTTATTTTTCATCAGACTTCAAAAATTGGAACAGCGCTTCAATGTTTAATGGAGTAAAACAGCCAACATATGATAATGTCGCAAGGTAATACTTTCTTTTTGCAATAATGGTCTAATTCAAATTCAGACCACTCGGATATTTCTTTGAAGGCTCGACCCCATGCAAATA